TTGTGAAATCAATAGTTCTGTGGAGCAGAGCATATGATCTCATATTTCTTCCATATCCATTCCTACCCGGTGTCAGTGGTCAACCCACGATCGTTTGACCGAGGATCTGAATCTATGCAGTTTGCATTTTTTACGATACTTACGCGCCGATGGCGTTTCTGTGGCGATGGCTGTAAAGTCAAAGTCAAATGAGTGAAATTCCTTCAGCCAAATTAGCATGATTGCTTTTGTAACATTGGACTTTGGCGATAGAAACGTTCTCATTGGTGGGGAACAAGTTTTGCCGCTGGATTCCACTGTGCAATTTCCAGCTAATGCACTGAGAAGGCCATACGAAATTATCTGCAACTATGCAGAGCCGCCTGATAGACAATAAAACGAGTTTTTCTAAAGTCGATGAGAAAATTGTCCGCCATGGTTTGAACCAGTGGGACGAAAGTAAGCCGTTTTTAATTCTGAGTCAGGCCTTTTTGACGTCGACCTCGACTAACGAGGGTCAAACTTGCTTCCGTGTGTTGCACAAATGTCATCACGTCATCATGTTTCCACAGTTCTTATTTTCAAAAGAACGGGCAAAACCTTCAGACTTTTCAAGTTCATGCAGTGTGATGTGGTAACATGTAATTCTTTCCACGTCTACACGTCCGTAACTCGTAACTGGTTTTACAAAGGTATCTGTTTTTCGTGATGTTGATTCAGTTTTCACGACGTTATTTTTATGGTTACTTTTTCGTTCTGTAAACAAACCGTACTGGACGAAACAAGCAAAAAGTTACCTCCTCAAAACCTGACCTTTTCTACTATCTGTATGCTGTTGTTCAAACTAGGCGTGAAAAGATTTCTGCGAAACTGACCTGAACATCAAGTTCTCCATTTGACTCAGCGGTTAGCAAATAGGCTTCATCGAAGACAAGGTGTGGCATGAAAATGGCTCCCTCAATTCTTATGCATTTTAGCGTGATGCAACAAGGCTAACTAATAACTCGGCGAATATAGCGTTTGGGACGATGTTGAAACATCATATCGTTAATTCGAATTCCGGCCGAGGCAACTCGTCCCTAATCCTTTTCGATTAGATAAGCAATTACCCCTCTATGGGGAGGAAGCAGAAGTCATATGCTCTAATGGGTCACAAAGCGTTAAACGTTGGTATTAGAAAAAGCAATGGTAACACAAACGTCATTTCAGTCAGTATCACACTATTCATTAGACCATGTACACAGGCCGCGGCTTCAAATATTTGAGCACCTGCATTGCTAAGCACGAAAATGCTACAGTTTGTGTGAGTGCAAAGAGACCAATATTTCAATGACTATATCTTCCATTATTTATGTGATGTAGAAGTTCGGAGAGTATTATGATGTTAAACGAATTTCTGAAACTGTACAATGAACAAGGGACTCTGAAAGTCTATGGCAGGTGTAAACACATGCAACAGCAGCCACTAGCCTGGAAGTAAACTAAATGAAATGAAATTATGTATATTTTTGGATTTGCGAAGTTCGGTTGATGCCTCTGTAGTACTAGAAGAGTGTTCATTTGGGCGATCGCCTACCGTCAGTAAACAGCATTTTAGTGAAGGTATGAAAGTTAAATACATGACGTGGCGCTTGATCCACACTTATAATGGAACAGGTAGATCTCTACACTGACCTATTTTAAGCTATGCAATGCTCTTCTTGGTGTTTACTATAACAAATCGATTGGTACATAAAAGCTGACTGACAGTAGTCGTTCGCAGTAGAGTAATTGTTGCCGACAACCTTACTGTTTACTATGTGTCATAGCGACGATTCGTCGTCATCATCGTATTTCTCGTCACAATCCCGATCATGTTATTTATTTAACCGTCGTGTCCATAATCTTGTTCTTTTCTTTTCCATCATAATTTTGTGCGTACTCTTCTCCTTCTATGTTGTACAATGTGTCGGTTAGGAAATTTCCATTGTTCTATTTTTCTGTTTTAATTTATCACAGTTTATTTGTTATTTAATTTTCCCATTTTTCATTCAACTGAATAGTCATCGTTTTTCTCTTCTTTCCATTTTTTTCCTCCTCAACAATCTATTGCTTCATCATCTACTTGTTTCCTATTTCATATCGTATTTCGTCACCCCCTCATTTGAATTCTTCATAACTGTATATGCCTTCATCTTAATCATCATTTCAATAATTGTTCTACTCATCATCATTATCATCTTCCAACAATATCGAACAGGAGCGTCATCATACTCAACATCTACACTATCTTCTTCTAAACCTTTTTCGATTCTTTACTCCTGTTTTCATATTCAGCACGGTGGAACAATGGCGGAGAGATCGGCTGCAAATTTCCGAGGTGTCGGGTTCGACTCCTGTGAAAGTGAATAATTTTCATAACCACTAATTACTTTGAGCAAAACATTCACGTCACTGGTTCAGTGCAACAAACTGAGAAACGGATATTAGGTCCCTGACTTGCGAACAACACGGGCAGCGTTGTGCTGTGGTATGGTCATACCAGAACGTGTGATAGTTTTGGGCATATTTAGCTAATGGCAGCGCTTTGTAGGGCTACAATTTGCCTTGACCTCAGTGACAATTAATTGTTCTATGTCATGAAAGTCATATTTCAGGTAAAGGTGTATTCCCTGTTGTTCATAATTCTTTCCATTATTTTGTTGTGTTTCAGAAATATAGTCACTTTTGCCCTCACCATGTCATGTTGTTTCTTCAACATCGATTTCTTATATTTCTTCGACATCTGTCTTACATTTTGGCTCTTTTATCTTCTGTTTTTTCGCCCTTCTACTTCGCGTTAGGTTTGTTCGTATTCATCGTCTTAATCATATCTTCATTACACTTTTTTCTTCTAATCACTATGATATTTATCAGCAAAAACCACTCTTTTGTTTCCTTTCGTCCGATGTCTCATCCTCGCATTTTTACTTTTTTATCATTGTTTTTTCTGCTTCGTCTGTTGCTTCATACTCTTTTACTTTTCATCATTATTACGTTTTTTGGCGTAATTTTTAGGTGTTAGTTTTCTCTTGCTTCTTTTTCCTCTCCTTCTGTTTCTCCTTTTCCATTACTTTCATCCTCATTTCCATTCCCATAATCTCCTTCTCCATATCTTTTTCAATCTTCAGTGGTTTCTTCATCTGCTTCTTCATCTTCATCTCCATGCCTTTCTCCATCTCTTTCTCGGTCTTTTCTTAATCTTTATATCTTTCTCCATCTACAACTGTTTCTCCATTTCCTTCTCTTTCTGTATCTCGTTCTTCGTTACCTCCTTCTCCTCTTTTCTTACACTCCTACTGCATAATCTTTAAACTTTTTCGGTTTCCTTCTTTCATAGATTTCTGTTTTTACTGTTTTCTTCCTCATGGTTTTCATGTTTTTCGTCACAGATATGGTTAAATAACTATTTTACCGGTTGATGACAAGTATTTTGATTGGGTTTCATGTGGTAATGAGTTTTCATGGAGCGAAAGGTTTGGAATTTAAATGTAGAAATGAAAAGCAGTAATATGAATATCGAGTTTCAATTTATGGAACCAAGAAGTGAACTTATCTGTTGGTTTTCCTAGATCATTGATTTTAATATATATTCTGCATTATGTAAGCTTCCTGAACGAAGTTTGTAAAGAACTCGTGTGGTGAGGATGGGGGCACCGTGGCTGGTTTTTTATTCACCTCACTGTTGTCCAGTCGTCCGTCTATCGACTGCCTTTTAAACAATTATGTTTATGTAGAGCTTCAGTGTTTCGATTTCAGTCTATGCTTCGAGGTGTGTTTGCATTATCTATGCTGGTCTTAGATCGCTTTTCTTCTGCTTTTAGAATGCAAATGTTAGACCTGCTCATTCAGTTGTGCGCTGCGTGCAAAGTCAGTCCGAGTGACATGTACATCAAGGTGCCGGTCGAACGACGACCGGGCTACTACGAATACAAGCCGAGCATGATGGTCGGCAATCTACAGTACACATACGTAGAAATGGTGCCAAAGTCGAGCGTCATCGAAAAGGTGAAGAAGCTGAAGTCGCACAGCTGGTTGTTCGAAGGGGTAAGTTGCCTTGCGAAAGGTTGGCGCATTTTGTGATGTTGACCCAAAGTTTAATGGTCTATTTACATAAATATTGAATTCAGCTATCTCGTTACGTCATATCTTTCGCCGTTTTACGACACCATGTAATCCACCGTCAGTTGTTTCAACTTGTAGTTTATAACTGCCGTTGTGCGTGGTTTTTCACACTGGCCAGTTAGCTACGTCATATGCTTAAGCAGTAAAAGACGATTAAGGAAAAATGTCAAATCTGTAGCCGCTCAGATGTCGATCTCCTTTACACCATTTCTAATATCTGTCTTTTACTTTAAACGTAATGTCTACAGGTGTTTAGGAAATACGGCGTGTAGCCTTCTGATTCCGTCCCCACCATGCGGTACTCATTCTATACATTACAAGAATAAATGACGAATGATCGAACTGGGACTCGAATCTAGTGTCCCTCGACACCGAGTCGTACGCTTTACAAAATTTCTATTCGCCATCAATAATGGTTACAGTCTAAAAGTACACTGCCCAGTCGGGGAGTACTCTGAATTCATATGTAGCTATATTTGTTAATTATAGTATATATGGTATATCATTATGTATATGGTTTCATGTGTTTAATATCTGCTAATCACAAGATACAGTCATGTCTGTTAATTAGAGTAAAAACTTGACAATCAGGTGAACAGTAGGATACAGATCATTAATAGGTCGTGAAATCTGTGATGTAACGAACATATCTTGACTCTGTCATCGGGACCTTCGTTATTCCAAGGGAAAGTACTTGTTGGTACCCAATCCTCCAGTTCAGACTCGTATGTCTTAAAGGGAAGACTGCCTTTAAGGCATGCATTCGGCATTATAAACTCTGTCATTTGCGGCTGCTGTAATCTAATTAGCTGACCTTCTCAGGATTAAATAAAGGCGGCCTTCGTGGCTACTCTGGCGGTTAATCGG